GATTTTGCAGTAGAATGGGCTTCATTCACTGCATGTAGCAATGCCTGGATGAGAAATTACCCAAGGCACAGCTGTTGTCTTGCCAGTAAAATATAAACAAACGGCTTTAAAAATATCTATTGATATACCAAGTTGAAAAGTATGAATAACTGTCTTTATCTTGAGGGCTGAATTATGTCTTTAAGGCAAGCAATCAGTCCATTGTTTCCAGTTGAACTGTGACTGTTTGTTGTTTGAAACAACCATTCACCAGCCGTCACCATTGTTTCACAACATAGAAAAGAGCTTACATTTTGAAGCTTTATTTGCTTAGTTTTCATAACGTCAAGTAGCCCATTATCGGAAATAATAAAAATGCATGTTTAGCTTAATTTAATTAAAGTGACTGTACCTGGCACAGAGAGGCCACCTTCTCATCAGCATGGGCCATGGGGTGCTCTGTGAACGTGGTGTAGGGCATCTCTGTTGACCAGGGGTTCCAGCGATTAATGAATGAAGCCTGGGGACGTTTGTCCCATTGGACACGAATCCCATAGCCTTCTCTTCTGTTTGACAATACAACAGTTTTAATAAGATTAGAATATCAAACAGCTGACGACATTCATGCAGCACAACCACAGAGATGGACCACAACGGTTTACAAAAGACATTTTGTAAGTTTTTACATTTTACTTCTGTGTGCATCAATTTGGAAACATTTTTTTTGTATGTATTTATTGCTATTTAAACAATTAAAAGACACATTATTCTGTTTTGCTAATATTAAAGGTTAATGTTGTAATGTTTACACATTTATTTGTTAATGTACTCTGGGTAAATACTAATTGGCTGTTGACAAGCTGAAATTCTGACATACTTGTTGAGGGATTTGGGTGGAAACTCAAACTCGCCCACTGAGATGGTGTCCACAGCATTGAGAGAGATCCTGATTACTTGTTGACACAGCAGGTTAATGAAGTCATACTTGCACACCAACAGGGACCTGCAGAGAACGTAAAGACAATGTTGTTGGCTACCTGATATGCCTCATTAAATATTAGTCACTTAAAGATGAGGTATGATTCTGACTCACCTATCAGTTATCAGCACAAGTCTCTCCTTTTCGTTATTCCAGTGATCAATTCTGTAGAAAACAATAGTTCACACAAGAGTTCATTTTTATGCCTCCTGCCTGATAATAAACATGATGACGGGATACTTACTCAGCCAGCAGCCAGACACTAAGCACCTCTCCATCCTCGGACGGCAGTGCCACAGTCCTGATGTCGCTCACCGCCTGCTCAATGGTACCTGGCTGAGATCAGCATCACACAACCGTAAATCATCTGAGCCTCATCCTCCCTGTGATCTGTTACTGTGATTGTCACAACATGCTGCCCTGCACTGACGCCTACGGCTGGGGGTGGTCGTGTTTACTTAGAGGTACCTAAGCAGCGTACGATAAGTGCGAGTGGTTCATACAAAAACAAACGGGCTTATCACCGCAAGCTGGAATGGATGCAGCAACTTACTCTGAACACGAAGTAGTCCTTCACTTTCGCTTGCATGGTGGGGTTATGCACATGAAAAGGCGTCAGCGTTTGTAACGGGGGACAGCAGGCCACGGAGGCGGCGTGTCCAAAGCTTCGTCCGGCCTCCGGCGGCGTGAAGGCAACCTCGACCCCCTCCTCGGTTTCTGCAGGGTGGAGAACCGCAGCGCCCGGACTCTCCGGCTCCATTGCGTCGTTGAGCTGAAGCATAATGAAACGTACGTGTTTCCCGGAGCTTCCCAACGATGTGCACCCACTGTTAGATCTAAAAATCTCCTCCCGACGATGCAGATTCTCCCATTGCGCACAAATAATGTTGTGATTGTGGGGGTAACGAGGAAGTAGCTCCCTATTGCTTCACTTCCCCCGTTTAATTTCCTTCCTGTTAAAGGGACACGGTGTTTTTGACCCATGTAATTACCAGTAAATATTTTTTTTAAATAAATTGGCTGGTTCCATTTTTTTCATCATTTTCACTAGCATGATCCGTAAATGATCTAAAGTAATGTTCTAGTTTTTATTGCCCAATTCTATTGACGTTATTATCATGTAATTATTAAATAATTGTACTGCCACTTAGTATTCCTGAAGATGCTGTTCTTGTACGTTTTATATCAAAGTTAAATCCACAGCAACCCGATAGTTATACTACAATAATATTGTAATAAGATTCCTTTGGTTTATAATCTCCTAACCAGGTAAGTCTGGGAATAACAAGGAAAAAAACTTGTTCTTTTAGGTCAAGTCAAGTGCCTGTATTGTCATTTCAACCATGTGCAGTGGTACAGTACACAGTAAAAGACTATGGTGCTATATATAACGGACAATCAACACAGGACTACATAAGGTGCAAGTGCACAAACATTGCAAAAAACAAAACAAAACAATACTGTGAAACACCAGTCAGAACAGAACCATAAAGACACAAGACAGTGCAATACAAAACTGCAACAACGACAGTGGGTTGTGCAAAAGACTGAGCATTGTACAAAAAGTAACTTGATGTATGAAGTGTGTGTGTGTGTGTGTGACATTGTTCAGTCTAAATCATTTGTAGAAGAGTTTTGCTGTAATAATATTTACATTTATAAGCTGTATCAAGAATAGTAAACTTCCTTTATATAAAGGTTTATTGAAAAAGCAGTGCGACAGCAGTATTTAATCAAGCATTAAGCTTAATATTTAATCAAGGAAGTATTAATTTATTTATTTTGTAATCTTGGACATTTTTTGATATTTACTTTTTCATGTTCATTTTTGGAAATTTTCTTGGTTGTTATATGCCAAATGCCACCAGTGTTTCAAATATTAGGCATTAAATATCATTGAAAACAAGCGAATCACCTAAATAAGAAATGACGAACGAGGTGTGTTCCTGAGACCCAGCCCGTGTATTATGTCTTCTGTAATGGACAAAAACAGTTAAACTGAAAGACCCCCCCCGGTTTTCAGGACGATAAGTTAACGCTCACAATTATTTAATATTGAAATTAACTATAACAGTTCCCTCTAGTGGAAACTCTGGGGAACTGTGAGCTGGAAATGCAGTTTTGCAAAGAGTGTGCTGTTTAAGAGGCAGTTTGCCCACAAATGAAAATTATCTAATAAACCAGCATTTGCTTTAAAAAGAGCCTTTTTGGAAGTCAAATGATAATGCTTTGTAGCTATATTGCAGTGTTAAAAGAAACTTGTCTCCCTGCTTTACCTGTTGCTTGGGTGTACATTAGTCTTAGGGCAGGTTGCAGACTAGTGATGATGATTTGGACTGATTAGAGTTTTTGTTTGTTTGTTTGTTGTTGTTGTTTTTAACCAAAATGTGAAAGAATATTAATCTTGAACTATTTCTTGTTTTGTTTTATGTTGTTTGCTTTTAGAGTTGGGTTTTCTGTTGTAACTGTTTTATGTCATCACAGGCTCAGTCAGCACAGTCCATCCTCTCTAACTTAACTGGAAAGGTCAACATATTTGTAAAACAATAACTTTTTAAATCTCAGTTTGACTTTGACTTGTTTTTCAGAGGGTTGTTGATGTACATGGGGGGCAAAGATCACACGTGGATGCTGTAGCTTTCAAGTGGGTGTTTTTGTTTGTCTCCTTGCTCTTTATAATCCAGACTTTGTTCTCATGCTTGGCTTATCAGTTTATTGAGGAAGAACAGAAAATGGTCCTTAATACTCATCTGAACTTGAGGAAGACCATGTTTGGTCTATGACTGTAACTTGTTTTTTTTGTGGAAGGTTGTTTAGTGCTGTCATTACATATACAAATGCACCAAAGCATAGCTATCTTGATTTCAATACTTTTTTTTTATTACATGTGAACAACTAAACACCAATTTGTAATTCTCTACTGTTGGACTTATGAATCTGTTATCTGTTTGTATGCCATAAATGATATGTTTCTGATAAGTGCTGTCAGTTTTACGAGTTTACAAAATGTATTTGATGTTGTCAAATTTGTGTTTTTTAATTTCCCCTTTGAAGCCTTCAGTCAGCCATATTTCAGACTGAGACATCACTTCATGGTTAGAATAAGTTTGACCTCTTAAACTTTCAGTTAGTACTGATGCTGTTTCTCAATGTCATAGTACTTAATAAGCAATTTTCTGCCAGAATCGTTAGTCAAAGATTTCAAATAGATTAACAGTGGCTGCAAGTTGATTTAGTTAAACCAGTAGATTAGATCTACTTGACTTTCATCACAATGTGTGATTCAATGGAAAAGATACACCTTTATAACAGCAATGTGAACTGTCGGTCTGCTGTAAATAGTTTTTTGGGCCATCCACTTCTTCTTTTGTCGAATTTCCTCACATTTTTTAAAGAAACTTTGCACACCATACTGATATAAACTAAGTCTTCAGCTGATAACTTGGGAGTCATCTTGTTGGTGCACAAATACTATTCATTGTCCATCGAACTATGCTATCTTTGGTCAATTTCATAGATTCAACTAAAGAAATCTGAGCCAATTATGTGTTTTTGAGACAGACTCCTTCTAAATGAGTGAAAAAGCAGCCTATGTCCAAAGAACAACTTTGAAAGGCTTTCAGAAAACCTGGAGAACTATTGCTCAAGACCATAAAAAGAAAGTCATTTTAAAAAAACTAAAAGGAAATGAGGGGTAGCTCAAGGCTATAGTAGGTCAGAAGTATCAAGTGTTATCTTCTGCACGTGTTTATAATAAAATAATTCTGCCAATGATTGACCCAAAATTCTTGACAATCAAGACGCTATATAAGGCTGGACCTAAGACAGAAACAACAGTAAACTGGACACTATGAGTTGTAAGATGACAATGCTTTTTCCATTGTTGCTGCTGACCTTCCTGTCAACAGCCAGGCTTGAAACAGAGTCTGACAATGAAATTATTCCACAGTCAACGGAAACTGGATCCCAGGAGAGAGGACAAGCAAAAGCTTCTGATCAACAACACAACTGTGTTACTGACGTCAATTATGTGCTGAGAGAGATGAGTGCCTTGTTGGGTGAATTGAAGGTTGAAGTGAGATACTTGCGAGAAGACAATGAAGGTAAAGTATAATGTGTGGCCTGAGAATCCATTTAATTAAACCACTGGCATGGTGTCTGCAAATATGTCATGCTATTTTTAATTATCTATTTATTTATTTAGCACAAGCAGCTAAGGTGAGAGAACTGGAGTTGCAAAAGACTGAGCTGGACAAGCTGAAGGAACAATATCAAGGTATATATACTCAGCAGTGAAAAATGATGAATAATTAAAGACGATGAGGAAAATGCTCAGTCTGTTTTTTTTTTCTGGACATCATGAAATATGATATATTTAAATATATGTTTTCAGTAACTGACGCCAAAGTAATGAATATTTACAATGTAACTCAGGTTTTGCTTGTTTTTTCTTTTTCTTTTAACCAATTACTCTGATTACAGCACAGTCACAAGAACTGATCTCCATTAAAGCTAAGACAAATACCACAGAAAACCAGGTGGAGGCTCTAAAGAGAGAGAGAGAAGGTTTGTGAATTTAGAAACAAACTCATTATTGCAACAGTTAATGTAACATCAGTCATTTTAACGTGCTTTTGTCCTCTGTCTCAGTGAAACAAGTGGCTTTCTCAGCCTCTCTGCTAGCTGCGGGGTCGGGAACTGTTGGACCGTTTAACACACACACACCTCTGGTCTTCAGACGTGTCGTCTCAAATATTGGAAATGCATATAATCCACATACAGGTATGCATCTATGAAAAAAAGAAAAATCTGACTTTATGACAAAGTTGAGATCATTGTAGGTGACAATTCTCTGTTTGATTTTAACATCCCACAGGATTTTTCATTGCACCAGTGAGAGGAGCTTACCACTTTGAGTTCTACATTGGTGCACATGGTCATGCAGCTCATCCTACTGGAGCTGTGTTGATCAAGAATGGCGAGCATATTTTTATTGCCTATGAACACCAGAATTCCCATTATGGAAGTTCTGCTAATGGTGTCACGTTGTTATTAGAGGTTGGAGATGTTGTGTTTTTGCGCCAGTGGGTTAACTCAAGGATTTTTGACAATGAAAATCACCATAGCACCTTTAGCGGCCATCTGCTTTTTACCATGTGAGCAGAAAACAGTTGTTAGTTTGCTCGTGCACACTCCGCAGCAGTATGAAGATGTTCTCTGTACTGATATTTGTATGAACCTGACTGACAAAAATGCTAAACAAAAATAACATTTGCAACAAGAAAAAAAATCAAAGATGTTTTTCATTTACACGTCTTTACTAGTATTAAAAAAGCACCTCAGCACCTGACTGTTAGTTCCGTGCCAGATTTAATTTGGTGTAGAATTTTCTAAGACAATTGTACATATTATGATTATTTTATTTTTTGGTTTGTTTTGTAGAAATGTTTTATGTGATGAAGACAATTTTTAATTTACCTTTATATCTATGAAAGAATCAACCTTTGTGTTCTGTTTATCGAGTAAGCTGTACAGCAATCATAATTCTAATAAATATATATGAAATTAAATATTGGCATGTTCTGTTACATTTTATGGACTTTTACTTAACTTGAGAGAGAGATAAAAAGAGAGACGGAGAGAAAGAGAGGTAATATCTGAGTTCATATAGGCTTAAAATTTAAGCAGCATTGCTGTCATGGCTACTGAACGGACCCACGCGCAGACAGTTCTTTCAAGGAAACAAAAAGGGGATTTATTTACAATAGGGATCACCTTAGTGCAAAATATATGTACAGTGAGTTGGGAGGGGGTCCAGGGCTCCAGGGAGAGAAGGGGGGGGGGAATCCACACACACGCTTCCTCTTCCACTCAGTCACCGCCACCGCTCCTCCGCACACACGCACTCCTCTTCAGCCGCACTCGCTCCAACACTCCACACACTGCCCCACTTGGACAGGTCCGGTGATTCGGTCCAGAATCTACAGACAGAAGGTCAAGGTTAGTTCCACAACATAAAACACGTGTAAGCGATTCTTCTTTGAATATGCCGCGAGCACGAACTCAGGTGGTTCGACGTTCCAGCGGTGAGCTGCTCTGTGCCACTGCCCTAAATAGCAGCTGGGGAAATCAGCCAGATCAGCCGCAGGTGGACACCATCCACAGGGGTGCGTGGGCCAAGAGTGAGAGCCCGTAATGAGCTCCACCCAGGCAGATAGGAGGAGGAGAGACAAAAAACTAAAACTAACAACAACAAAACCTGTAGCCAGCGTGGGCCAACCAGAGAGACACGGGGACCGTGACAGTTGCTCTCTTGCATTGTGTGGAGTTTTATTTAATAAAACATGTTTTAGTATTTTTTATTCATAAAATCACTACTGAAATTTTTAATACACACACACACACACACACACACACACACACACACACACACACACACACACACACACACACACACTGCACCACAGCACCGAGTAATACAAATCCTGTGCCAGATTTAATTAAGTGCAGAAATTTCTAAGAAAACTGAGGAATTTATTTTTCGTTTGGTTTGTGGAAACTTTTTATGTGAAGACAATTCCCGATTTGCCTTTAAATCTTTAAGCCAATCATTTCTTGTTGTCATTTGCATAATAATTGTATGAATCATAATCATAATAAAGTATATATTAATGAAATATTACCATCTTCTTTGTGCACTTTTACTTAAGTTGGGAGACAGTCTTAAAATTAAAGCAACATTGTTCTCTAGTGGAAGCTTTAGGTAGTTTTGACCCAGCACTATACCAGTACAGATTACAAAGAGCAAATGGAGTAATAGTAAACACCCCTTAATAAGCTGCCTCAATAGGTTGAAAGTATCTGTTGGTATTGAAACTGCAAATGGTAGCCCTGTATTTATCAGTTCCAGTGTGGCACAGCAGCAGTATTTGCTTAGTGTTCTGAACAGGATGTTGATGTCCTCTGTACTTGTGTTTTGAGTGGTCATTGGCCTCCAACATAATCTGTGCTGCTCTCTGTGCCAACTTTAATTTTAATTTTTTTCCATAAATGAGTGTGATCACATCAAGAGGGTAAAATGAACACGGTAAACAAAGATGTGAGAAATATGCTAATAAATAGGTGCTGCTAATAAATACAGGCATCGCAGACCAGCATGATATTTGAAACTGATTTACTGATATCATCGACATAACACACAATGCATCAAATAAATGCATAGCTGTTGTATTTTCAGGCTTTTGTAAACTTCTGGTTACAGTCTCTTTTACACCCTCTCCAACTCTACCTCCATTTATTCAGCAAGAATAGACTCAATAGGCCCTGTGCACAACTGAGCTAAACGAATAGTACATTGTCTTTGCTACAAGCAAAATAAACCTCACATCCTGAATGGCTGGTCAATGCTGGTCAAATTGTCATCAGTAAAGAGGTAACTGATGCTGGACTAAGCAGAGTTGCAAAAAAAAAAAAAAAAAGACACGCTGAACAGGCTAATCAGAGTAAAGATTTTGGATGGGCAAAAGAATGCTGAAAAAAATATTCGAGAGAGATAAATCTAAGTTTGAGTTCTTTTGATCCCAAGGAACATTTGTGGGAAGTATTGACAAAGATATGCTATGCTATATTTATGCTATCTTTATATCTGTAAATATATATATATAAAATTAAATTGATTGAGGGATTGAAGAGGTATTGAGAAATGAAGGGGACCACTATATTTGGCAATGCCATGCAATGTCTTGTCAACACTTAGAAGTACAAAATTATTGAAATCTTCTTGAAGAACACTGGCTTTATATATAAAAAGAAAAACAACAGCAAAAACAACAAAAATTAAAGCTGCAAGCAGCGTTATGAGGGCCCTCGCACCCCCAGCGCGTCGAGCCACGCCCAACACCTAAAACCAGCACCTCCGATCTGATGTCACATTGATGGAATTCATGCATTTAACCACCAGCTAACATTTCAACTCATTCATTCATGATTAGTTAGTCGTTCCACTAGGTGGCACTCTAACCATTATGTAAAAATGGCATAACAAACATTTCCGAGCTCGAGTGTCATCACGCCTATGAGCTTTGGGAGAGATTGGACATTGT